ACACACACACACACACACACACACACACACACTCACACACACACACACACACACACACACAGCCTGAACCTGAGCCCTGTGTGAAATGTGCCATAGCGCAGCGCTCCGTTCCCTGTGACAGCACGGACATGCTGTTAAATCTGTTCCACCTTGTTAACAATCTCTCGGTGTGCGCTAACAGCCGTAAAATGCACATTTGTCCTGCTAACTCACAATAACATTCGACTAAACTGGTTGCAGCTCATTTATCCCAGGGTAAAGCAGCTCTGCTCCAATCTGCTCTTTAGTGCAGATCTGAGCCCGAGAAGCACGCTGCAGCCGTTCAGCTGCACCGGGCACGGACAGCGGCCGACCGCGGCGCCGTATTAATGAGCCAATTAATAGATTTCTCCCGCTGAAATGCATCGACGACTCAACCACGGTGAGAAAAACTCTGTGTGGGCGTGCAGCGGCCGTGGATGTGGAATGCCTACAGCTTACAGCCGTTAGTGCCCTCCTGAATTTACAACAGGACCCAACATTGATGTTCAACAGTGTTCTGAACACGTAAACTCCAGTTCAGAAGCAGTTTTCTGTATTTGAATGTTTCCAACTCAGCGTGAGTGAATCACATCTCCCAGGGTTCAGTCTGTGGTGAACATTAAGAAACTGGAGGTCCTTTAACAGAGGACGACGGGCGGCGTGGATTATTTTACATAACCTGAGGAGGAGAGAAGCCGCCTGTGTGCAGAGGCCGAGGGGAAGAACAAAATGAAGAACATTTATTACAGTCATACTGCTGCAGTTAGCAAATCAGATACGTGAGGTGGTTCTCCTCCACTGAAACAGAGCTGGGATCAACGACAAGAAACTTCCAGATGTTTCCTGGGACGCGCTCTCGCTCTCCATGAGTAAAAACCTAACGAGGGTCATTTATGACCACCTGCACATCGAGTGCAACAGCCGCTGTTTCACACACCGCAGCACGCCGTTTAACCCAACGTGAAGCTGCACCAACAGCTAAATACTGGCTTTGACTTCACGTTGGCCTGTGCACACATAAGATGACGCTTAAAGCATCAAAAGTGTAGTGAAATGTGCTTTACATAACAAGCACCTCTTTACAGTCATGATTCGCTGGTTTCTTGGTACAAAGAGGAGAAAAATCCATCAGGTACAAGATCGGCTTCATCTGTCGGTTAAATCTGTACTTTCAAACACCCGTTCAGTATCAGTCCAGGACTCCACAGGTAATTCCTACAAGTTATGAGGTTATGAGATGTGTCAGCGTCTGTTCTTGTCATTTTGGATGTTACATTTGAAGCTGTCTTCACAGATGCAAAGTTGCAGGAATGCCCTGAAATTTCCGTCTTACATTTAAAGCCTCCTCACATGTGTGCTGTGCGTGCTTGTACGTGCATCCTCGCCATCCTCAAAGGTCAAAACTCCACACGGAGCTGAAATCAGCAGGTGTGCTGATGCGTCATCGCACACCTCTGAGCCTTTACTGCAGGAGGAGCCTGGACGACAGCGTGGCGCCGCAGGTGCACACGGCGGACTTTTCATAATTTTATCAAAGTCACACGTGGGTCCTGCAAATACGTGCAGGTCTTATCATCCTTTTTTATTTGAACATTACTCCTGTGACGGCTCTTTGTCGCCGCCTTTCATCTGCAACTCTATTCTGAAAGTCTTCAAAGGAAGTTTAATGACACAAAGAGAGAATGACATTTCTGTAGAGCACACTTTAAACTTGCAGTAAATAATAATGACAGGAGGGGTATTCACCTACTTTCATGTCACACTGATAATAACAAGTATTCTGAATATGTCAGGTATGCCTTTGAGAGCTCGTAACGGAGCTTTCTGTCATCTTTCAGAGTGAAATGTACAGCTGGCACAAAGAAAAGTGAGGATTTTGGCTTCTTGTGTCCAACTGAAAACTGAGGAGGTAATATTACAGCCTGTCAGGAGATGAGATGAGAATAATAAACTCACAATAACATCAACTGAAAGGAAATGTGGGTTTTTTTCTTCTCCTTTACACGTTCAACACCGGCTATAATTCAGGCACTAATGGAGTTTCTGACCTCTAATAGCAGAGAGTGCTTTGGTGAGGAGCACCGAGCTCAGCAGGACTCCTTTAATGGGAACGGCTTTCAGCACATTCACCGTGGAGTTTCAGAGGATGTTCATTTTCTTGCATACATAAAAATGTAAAATAGAAATAATGAAGTTCACAGTGCAGAGGAGACTTTTTTTCCTGTGAAGTTGGAAAAAAATGACAACAGCAACGAAACACAAAGACGACACAGCTGACTGTGGACATGCACATTAAAACATCTGTGCATTTTATATCTTCACAACCCAGAAACGCTCTGCCTCACGTTCTGACCCTGAGTGCAGGGAGAGGAGGCGTCTGTGTGCACACACGCACGCACGCACACACACACGCGCACACACACACACACACACACGCACGCACGCACACACACGCACACACACACACACACGCGCACACACACACACACACACGCGCACACACACACACACACACGCGCACACACACACACGCTAGTTGAAGTGGTTCATGCGTCTCTGAGATGAACTGCAGACACCTCAGACCCCGGACATGGTGGGGAAATCCTATTACTACCCCTGAAAGAAATGGATGTGCGGTGTGGTGAGGGAGGTCCGTGCAGCTCAGACTGCGACCTGGACCTGGCGGAGCAGCAGAAAATAGACGAGTGAAACATCCGTGATTGCAGTGAAACACTTTTTAAGTGCTTATCAGCCCAGAGTGCATCAGGTTGTTCCAGCAAATTCCCAAAAATCCGTTAGTTTGTCACTCGTCCCTCTTCACAGTTAGCAGGTACTCGCCCCGGCTGACGGACAGCGCTGTGCAGGCCGAGCGGAGATGGCTTAACGAAGTCATTCGGCCACTGCAATTTTGTCCTTATACAAACACACGAGTCCTTACATCTGCTCATTTCTGCCACATCAGACTTTTAGAAGCAACCACGCACATCTGAACCCAAACCTGGTGGTAAGCTTGGTGTCTACGTTTACCTGCAGAATCTTTCATGTTTCTGATAATCAAAGAGCCGAGCGAGCGGGAGTCAGCGGACCCCCGAAGGGAGAAAGGCACAGTCTGCACCAGAGGAGGCAAAGCAATGAGACCCAGGACATAGCAGTTCTTACTGCTCTGACCAGTGCAGGCAAACACACCCTGACATGGACTGGATTTTGGTCCCCACAAGTATAGTAAACTTCCAACTACTGGTCCCCACAAAGATGTTTAAACAGGTATACACACACACACACTACGCTAACTTCCTCCAGGCTTCACTAATTATGTCCACAAGTCAAACTAGCTGCACAGACGCAGCGGTCGAGCTCGTCATCGGGCGCGCTGCTTAACGTTCAGCAGCGAATGGAGAACGAATCTCGTCATGCAGATGAAGTCTGAACAAATCAGAAGCTCCAATCACTTCCAGACGGCGGCCGCTGTGATTGAGGCCTCACTCAGTCTTTTCCAACCTCGATCAGTCAGATGAAGGCTGGACGCCAGACGTCAATCAGAGTGGTAAACTGTGCTCTGACATCAGCGTCATCAGCGGGAAGGACTGTGCAGGGGGCCTTAATGAGAACAGCAGAACAGGAAGTGAAGTTCAGCAGGACTGGATGAGAGCTTGCACCCAAAACTGCTGCCGAACACGGCGCAGGGTGCGTGATTACGCTGCTCAGTAACTGTAATGCAGAAGATTTAAGACAATAATTCATGGATTTAA